TTTTTAATAGGAACAGTTCAAAGTTTGGACTCTGTTTCACTTTGTTTCAAGAGAGCCTACAAAAGTTTTACCCGAGTTCGCTCGGTTGTATGAAGTCACCCACGGACGCCTGCGCGATTTCCATCACACGACTTTTTTCACGTATTATAAATATTTCTTTTCATTCAGCGGGACGGGAAGGCTGTGGCTGTGGCGGCGGCGGTGGTGGCGGCACGTTTTGGGGGCGGGGGCGCTTGTGTGGTGTCACAAGGGCAAGCAGGTAAAAGGGGGCCGAATAGGGAAGATGTGTCAAAGGGTGAAACTTGGCGGTGCGGGCCGGGGCGGGGCGGGGCGGGGTGGAGCCGTCGCGTGGGGGACGCGTTACATCTATCTCCCTGCGGTTGACGTGAGGCTGCGCAGCCCCGCGTGTCCCGGCCCGCCGGCCCCGCCGCCGCCGCGCTCAAAGCCAGAGCGCCGCGACCGGAGCGAGCACCGTATTGGTTTGCGGGCTGCCTTTGGCTGGGCTGGGCTGGGCCGGGCTGGGCTGGGCTGCCAGACCCACACCTCATGACGCGACGGAAAGGAAGACGACCCCCGCAGAGCGTTACTTGTCAGGCCCGCAAAGGAGAAGGCCGCGAGGAGGAAACGAACCCATCGCGCTATGCTCGTTTTGGATCAGAGATACACTGGAGATTCACTGGAAATGAGGAGGATGAGGAAGGAAATGAGGAGACGCCACAAACAGGAAATTATTTGTCAAATTATTCAGTGGCGAGGAAACAAAAGATCTCGAAGAACTTTGAAGTGGAGCTACATTGTTGTTTTGCCCGCGGTTTTGCTTGTAAATTAAAAATTGTCGGTAGCACCATTCCGCACCCATTCAATTATTGAAAAGGTCGGAAGAGGTCCGAACTAAAAGTAAGTAAGCATGTCCTTTTCCCTTGTATACGTCGTCATCGTATTCATATCACACATCACACGCGACATGAAAACAGATAAGGCAGCATTGTTGTTACCCACCGTTGTTGTCGTACGGCACGCCGTTGAGCTCGGCGAAGCACGTCTGCGAGGCGAGCGTGCCGGCGGGCTGGTGCTCCCAGCAGAGCACCTTGTCGAAGAAGGGCTCGCAGTGGTTGGCCGGCGGGGCGGCCTCGTACTGCAGCTGCAGATCGGCGCACCGCAGCGCCTGCAACACACAGACACAGGCACGAGCGTGTTCAACATGAGTTTGGGCAGTAGTGGAGGGAAAGGAAGGGGGGGGGTGGGTGAGGCGGCGAGGCGTGGCGGGGCGCGGCGGGGCATCCACGAGTTTAAGGCTCCGTGCCAAGCGGGGCGGAAAGCCTTGGCAAATAGCTGTGGGCTGGCTGTTCCTTCCCGTTTCCTTTCCCCTGGCGCCCCTGGAGGGATGCCCCCCGTACCCCCGGAGGGATGCCACCCGTACCCCTAGAGCGATGCGCCCTGCGCTCCGCCCGCCCTCCCCCGCCGTCCCCGCTGCCTGTAATGTCATTTCCGGCGCAAGCCGCGCTGAGCTATGGGGGCTGTTGCGGGCTGCGCGGGGCGCCTCGCCGTCCCGGCGCGAGCGGGGATAACTGCAGCGGCGGATCTACTCGTCGTGGAGCACGTCGCCGCGGAGGCGCTCCTGCCCGCCCCGCACCCCCCGCGGCCCTACAGCGTATAGGCCCTTAAGACAACCCTTTACTGCTCATTAAAGCGAACGCCTCCGTGCCCTGTGGCTGGCGCTGGCCAGCAGTAAACTCCCCCCCCC